GGGGCCGGGACGATGACTCTGGAGTCCATGATGGCGTGTTGCCTGAGCGACGAGGTGAAGGAGTCGAAGCGCATCAACGCCGAGATCGAGAAGCAGCTGCGGCGGGACAAGCGCGACGCCCGGCGCGAGCTCAAGCTTCTGCTGCTGGGTGAGTGGGGCCGGCCCGGACCGCGAGGCCAGCGGGGCCTCCGGCCCTGCGTGGTCACCCCTGCCCTGGACCCCTGCACGGTCGGTCCTGGGCCCAGGGGGCCAGCCCTGCTCTGGCTCCCTGGACTGTCACCCTGCCCTGGTGATCAGCCTTCCCAGGGTCCCTGGACAGTCAGCTCTGCTCCAGACCCCTCCATGGTCAGCCCTGTCACAGTGGCCAGCCTGTCTGACTCCCGCTGGTCAGTCCTGCTCTGATCCTGGAGGGCAAGCCCTGTCCCGGTGGTGAGCCTGACTCTCCCCAGAGGACGAGTGCTTCCAATACTTAGATGGTCAGCACTGCCCATGGTGGTCATCCTTCCCCATATCCCCAGAGGGTCATCTCTTGCCTCAGTTGTGCAGGGCAGTCCCAGTCTCAGTGGTCAGTCCGTGCCTGTGGTGATCCGCCCTTTTCCAGGTCCCTGAAGGGTCAGCCTTGCCCCTGCTGTGTTGGGCAGCCGAGGGTGGGTTTGCTGCAGATCCTGCGGTGTTTTTATTGGCCAGTGGTGGTCAGTTACCCCCATCCTTCCAGGGTCAGCATCTACCAGTGGTAGTCAGCCCTGCCTCAATTCCTGAAGGGTCAGTCCCTGCACGGGCTGACCTGGGCCTGCAGTGGTGAACCTCTGTCTGTGGTGGTCAGCTCTGCTGCAGATCTCTGTGTGGCCAGCCTCTGCCCTAGCTGTCCAGGGTGGCTTTGATTATTTGATGGTCAGTCCAGTTTCTTTTGTGGCCTGTTCCTGCTGTGATGTCCAGGATAGTCTGGATCCCTCTGTGACGAGCTCTTACCATGCTGTCCATGATGACCTGCTCTTTGGGGGGTTAGCCTATAGTTCTCTGTGGTCAGCCCCTGCTCATACTGTCCAGGTAAGGCTCCTGGATCCCTCTGGGTTGTTCATGCCAGAGCCCCTGGAACTCTTTGTGGTCAGCCTCTGTGTGTGTTGACGGCCCAGTCTCCTGCTTCTGCTGTCCAGGTTGGGCAGTTACTTTCCCAGTAAGCCAGCCTGAGTGCCCCCGGAGTTAGCTCCTGCCTTTGCTGTCCACGTCAGGTCCCTGCATCCTGGGTTCCTGGGCAGCCCCCTGGATCTGCTGTTCACATTGGCCCCCAGGACCTTTGGGGGTCTGCCCTCTGTGTCTTGTGACAGCCCCTCTCTGCCCAGGGCTGACCTCTGACCCGCTCCATAGTGTCTCCCTTTCGCTGTCCCCATGTCTCTGCAGGGCTAGACCTTTGGCTGTGATCCACAGGACACTTACCCTCACCTCCCCGGTCCTGCCTGGACACGTCCCATCAGGGGGAGTCCTGTTCACTGCAGACTCGGCTGTCCCCCTCCAGACTCTGCTGTGCCCCATCGCCCTTCCCCTTGATGCCATTCCCCTGCCCCCCTCCCTTGGTGGGGAAACTGAGTCCCTCTGCATGGAATTGCACCCTGCTGGGAGGAGGCAGCCATGGGTTGTCAGATGGCCACCTCCTTGGCCTTCCATGGTCCCTGTCCTTGGCGTCCCGGTGGAGCCACCACACCCTGTAGGGAGGCCCCCGTCTCCATCTCCTCAAGGAACACCTGTCGCTGGGAGCCAATCGACCCAGCTGTCTGTGTTGTCACCCCAAATAAGGGCGCAGATAAGGGCCAGGGGAGGACTGGCCCTTTCGGTGGTTTACAAAACAGAGGTCCTGCCTTGTCTGCCTCCGCCTCCTTCCTTCCCAGGCTCCTGGGGAAGGTTGGGCACGTGTGCCCTGTGCCCATAGGCAGCCTGGATGGGCTTGGTGTCCTGGGGAAAGAGGCTGTCCTGCGGTGGGCACACCACATAGTTAGAGGAGCTGAGCCCAGTGGCAGAGGGGACGTGTTGCACTCTGGCTTGGATGGGCACCAGGCCCAGGCTCCAGAGGTTCCTTGCTTGAAGCGGCTTCCAGGTAACTTCAGATGTGTGCTCACCTAAGGCTCCCGGTGGCCGTCTCTGCAGGAAGGGCGGGCAGGCAGGAGCGTGACCTGTGGAGGGCCGCGGGGTCCTGGCTGACTTCTGGAGTGGGTGGGAGGCTTTCTTTTGGGGTAGGAGACAGGATGTGCATCGAAGGACAGTACAGATGCCTTGCCCTGCGGCTCTGGGGCCTCCAGGCCCGTCCTCTCCTGTGGACCCCAGCTTCTGAGCCTGATGGTTGGGCTTGAGGTCGACGGGCTCAAGGCTGCCGCCAGGCCCCTGTGTGCAGCTTTGCTGAGGCCAGCCTTGGGCTGAAAGCCTCGCAGTGGACCTGGAAGGATGGAGCCCACCCCGGCCTTTGTCCTCAGTGCCCACCTGGGCAGAGCACCTTTGTCTGCAGTCCTTCCCTTCCCCTGCTGGGTGACCCTAGCAGCACCCACCCCCCAGCTTGTAAAAGGGGCATCCTGTGAGCCGATGCCAGGTTCAGGGCAGGCGGGCAGGTGGGAGAGTGGGTGCGCGGGTGCAGCGGGCGGGAGCGTGACACGGAGGCCCGGGACTTGCCGGGGATGGGGGCCTCTGCAGAGGAAGTGGCCGTGCCTGGGTGTTGGGATGCAGAGACTCTGGGCAAACTTCCCATCTGAGGAGCCTTTCAATCCAGATTGAGGGCCCTTGCTGGAGGACTTCCGTGACCAGGGGCTGGGACTCGCTGTTAAGTGCCCCTCTGCACAGCCTGTGCCCTCTGTGGGGACTTATTTCGCTTTCCCAGTAAGCCAGCCTGAGTACACTGATTGTCCCCATTTGGGGGAATACATTGCAGGTGGGACTCTGAGGTTCCCCAGCCTTGGGGGCTGCTCCCAATTGTAGCAGGTGGTGACAGCCTACAGCTGATGGCGCTTTCAGTTGCCTCTGAGTGGCAGCCACATGGCCCTGGTGCCAGGGATGGAACTAGGCAGGGCCTGCTTGTCCCTGGAACTCCCTCCCTGGTCCCCCATGGCTCCTTGGCTGAGTTGCAGGGTGGGGTGTCAGGGCCTGCCCTGCGCTCCTCCAGGCTCCCAGGCAGGGCTGAGTGCTGCCTTAGCACCTGCTGTGCATCAGGCAGAGGTCGCTGGGGAGGAGCTCCTGGGCCCCTGCCCCTCACTGCTCCCAGCAGCCTGTGACCTGTGAGGCTGCTCAGCTGGGCGGGGCTTCCGGGCAGCACTTCCCTAGCACTGGACGCTGGGCTGGCTGTTCTCGGGGCTGGGTGTCCTGGGCACTGCAGGTATGGACAGTGTCCTGGCCTCTGCCTGCTCCACACCAAGAGTCCAGATGATGACTAGTGTGTCCTGAGGCAAAGCGCCCCTGCTTGAGGATCCCTGTCACACGGTGGCATATGGTATAAAGTGCTGGCTGTGTGACAGTGTGTGTCACCTTGTGGGGAGTTCTGGTGACGGCTGTGGTGGAGTAGTTCTGTTGATGTGTTTCATTGCTCAGAACACGGGAGGACACGTACACATGTTCCACTTTACTCGCGGTGCTGTCCCTGTCCTCTCCTGACTTTCTCGTCAGTGGCAATGACCGCCAGCAGTGGGCCAGGGAGATGGGGACTGTCTGTTCAGTGAGTGTGCTGTCCAGCCCCTGTGCCAGGCCCCCAGGAGGCCAGCATGAAGGAGCAGAGGCCCTGGGGAGCTGGGTGCTGGGCTCCCATCCGGCCGCCAGGCCTCTGCCTCTGTCCCTGCCCTTGCAGCCTGGCTGCTGCATTTCTGTCACTTGGTGGTAAGAGTCCCAGGAGGCCGCTGCCTGGCCTTGGCAAGTTTGTGGGGGGAACTGAGGCAGGGAACACTGTGCCCTGAGGTCCCGCCCCCGTGGGCAGCCAAAGCCCAGGATCCCTGAGGGGGCTGGGCGTGCCTCCCTGGGGGAGGGCACATCCAGGTTACTGGCTTCTGGCAGGGCCCTGTGTCTCGCCCCCACAGACTGTGGAAGCAGGAAGCTCCTCAGATGGCCTTGTCCACCCTGGACACGCTGCAGAGGGCCAGGACTCACCCAGGATGCGCCCCTACGTCCTTTACGTTGAGATTCAGTTCCCGCTGGGTGTGGCGGGGCACCCCGTCGTCCCAGCAACTCGGGGTGAGGCAGGACGGCGGCACCTTGGAGGCCAGCCTGGGCAACACGGTGGCCCTGTCTCAGAGTAAGAAGGAGAGGCCTGGGGACGTGGCTCACTGGGAGAGCTCCCCTCAGCTCAATCCCCAGGACCAAAACAGGAACAGAGCCGGCAGCAGGAGGCCCGATTGCTCAGCTGCCCTCTCCCCTGGGCGGCCCGGCCCAGCTGGACTGAGTCTGGGCCTCCCAACGCAGCAGGTGAAGTGGTGTCCCTCCTCCGTGGCCAGGCTCATCCTGGGGTCCCAGGTGGGTTGGGTGTAGGCCATGGGCCCCAAGCTCGGCATCCTTGGGTCACTGAGGTCTTTTGTGCTGTCCCTGCCTGGACCTCCTGCCTCAGCACTGCCAGCTGCTGTCCTTGACCCCAGCCACAGGGGGCTCACTGCTGACTTTTGCTGTGGAGCCCTGCTCTGTCGGGGACCAGGACCCTGCTGCACCATGGGAGAGGGCGCTGGCGCGGGAGTGTGGGAGTCCCTGTGCAGTCGTGTCAGACAGACCTTAGGCAGGTGGCGAGGCCCTTCCGGCCAGCTGTCCCTTCTTTGCAGCCAAACAGGGTCCCCAGCAGGGTGCGTATCTCCCTACGGCAGATGCTGTTGGGGCGCCCGGGGGGTACTGCAGTGTGGCAGGACTCCAGCGGCTCATAGCACGGGCCTCTGAGCACCGGGTCACTGGCTTGGGGCTTGTGCCACCCTAGGGCCCTGTGTGCTTGTGGCCTCGAGGCCTGGGCTTTCACCCTGGGTCCCCTGCCCCCTGGCTGCAGCATCATCAGTCCTCTGAAGGCCACTGCTGGGTCGTCACACCATCTGAACGTGCTGCCCTGGACTCAGCTCCCAGCTGGTCGCCTGTCTGTGCCCCTGCCCCCTCCTCTCCCTCGACCCTTTTCTGCACTGCCTCTGTGCTTTTGGTGGCTTTCTGGTCCTAGGGGTGGCGTAACTGGGTGGAGCACCCTGCTCCTCCTGGGTCCTCCAGATGTCCCCAAGTCTGGGTTTTGTGTGGTTCAGAGGCACCTCTGCCACTTGCAGCTGTGACAGCACAGCCTGTGCCTCGGTTTCCCCGAGGGGAGAGGTTGAGCTCAGGGGACCTACATTCAGTCCCGTGAGCACACAGCGCTGCCGTCTGCTGTCAGGGTGTCACATGGCTGCATAGTGCCCAGCGTGAGCCTGGCCACAGCCCTCCACGAGGGCTGATTCCTGGAGGAAGAGCCCAGGGTCTGGGAGGGCTGACAGCACACCTGGGCCTGTGGACAGGGTGGCGGGTCAGCCCCGGCGGCATCCCGGGCACTGCAGTGCCTCTGGCCGCGCCCACTCTGCGCCAGGAGCATTCCCAGTCGTGCAACGACGATACCCCGGACACGGCCCTCTGTCCCTGAGGTGGTGTCCTCAGCCAGCACAACCTGTCTCAGGGTCCCTCCCTGCTCTCTGTTGTTGGTCAGCCTTATTCTGAGCCCTCTGCCCTGGATGTGGACCCCGAGCCCTGGGGGCTCCAGGTGCTTGTTGAAGGACTTTGACTGGCTGAAGCCCATCCACTCAGGAAACGGAGGGGCATAGCCCGGGTTCCTGACTCCTGCCGCCCCCGAGCTCACCGTGGCCCTGTCACCAACCATCTGTGGCCCTCTGCACCAGTCCACATGCAGGTGGGACCAGGGACAGCCTCTTACTAATTCCTGAGTGTCTCCTGAGCTCAGGCTGCCTGTGCCACCCAGAGTGGGAGAGAGCCCGTCTTTTGCTATCACTCGGCCTGTTTCTCATCTGCCAGAAGGGAGCAGTGCTCGTCCACCACAGGACACAGCCTGAGTGGGCGTGGCACCTGGAGAGCCGCCCTCTGCCTCCGGCCTGAGCTGCGGCCTCCGGAGGGCTGTCTTCCCCACCCTCTCCACCGCGACCCTCTCTGCTGCGGCTTATTTGCTCACCCTTGCTGAAACGCGGCTGGAGCAGCCCTGGTATGTGGGTGTCCCCCATTAGTGTCCCCACAGGGACTACGCTGGGGAGATGCCGAGCTGCTCTGTCTCGGGGCTTCTGTCCTGGCTGACTCCCTCTGGGACCACAGTGAGGATCGAGGGTGGCAGCCTGAATGGGTGTGGCCATGCCGAGGCGCACCATCTGTGTTACCTCCTGGTCATTCTTCAAGGGGTCTGCACTGAGGGGCAGTGGTCCCCTCCACTGCCGCATGGGCCCCTGTGTCCTGTGGGGTCTCTGGAACCTGGCCTGCTGACGGTTGCTGCTTGTTGACCCCTGGGGCCAGGAAGGGTGCTTGTGCCTGGTGGGCGGTGGCGGGCACTGCTGGGGGACTGTGTTGTGGGGCTGCCTGCCTCCTGGGCTGCACTCTGCTCGGGTCCTCTGACGGGACGAGGCGACTCCTGTGAGGGATGGGACAGGCGGTCTGTGTCTCCTGACCCCCCTTGGTTGTACTAGCTGAGCCTCACGGGTGACAGTGGGGAGCTGGACAGGTAGTCTCTGTCCCCAAAACTTGGGAGGTGCTGTAGTTTGGTTCTAGAATGTTCCCCAAAGGCCCAGGTGTTCAAGACTTGGTGGTCCCTGGATAGTGTGTGGGTGGATGGAGCCTTTAAGAGGCGGGGCCTGGGGGAGGGTTTTAGGTCATTGGGGGGCGTATTCCCAAAGTAGTGGTGGGAGCCGCCCCTTCCTCTGCCCCTGTTCCTGGCCATCATGCCCCACAGCAGCCTGGGGTGAGCAGTGTGCCTGTGCGGACTGCAGCCCCACCCCAGACCCAGGGAACCCTTCTGTGTGAAGGTGGCCATCTCAGGGTGGAGAGCCGTCACTGCCCAGCCCAGTGTCCTGCTCACACGCCCCGGCTGGGCTCAGGTGGGCAGGACTGGGCACTCTCCAGGCCTCCCGACTCTAAGGGGGCTTCAGAACCATAAGCCCCAGCTTGCAGGGACCAGGGGGCTCAAAAACAGGTGTGGGGTGACTGGGGGAGGGGTCTGGGGTCCTCACTGTACCAGGGAGGCCTGCCCCTACCAGGGTCCTGGGGTGGGTGGCAGTCCTGACTACAGCCCCCAGCAGTGGAGCGGAGATCAGTCTGTGACTCAGGCCATTCTGTCACTGCCTTGGCTGTCGTGTCACCTGTGGGACCCCCGTGCGGTTCCCCCGTGCGCTCTCCCCTCCGCCTGTGGACTGCAGAGCTCCTGGCTGGCCTGTCTAGCCACCTGCTTGAGGCACAGTGTGGCTTTCTGGCTCATTGGACGTCATCTTGGGCTCAGACCCTTCTAGTGGTGATGGTGAGCCTGCCCGGGTGTCCTGCAGGCTCCTGGGCAGCAGAGGCAGCACTGTGACCGGGGTGGCAGAGCGCCTGCCTGTGGCTGTGTGGGGCCTCCTGGTGATATGGGTGCCCCAGACCTTGAGGCTTGGCTCGTGCCGGGGGCTGGGCCAGGGACAGGAGGGGCCGCGTCCTGCAGCTCCTTTGGGAGTGCTGCGAGGACTGGCTGTGCAGGGGCTGGTGGCAGAGCCCTGGCCAGGCCTGGCTGCAGGGCAGGGGTCCTGTGCCCTGTGGAGGAGGGCCGCTTCCCTTGGCTTCCTGCGAGCTGGGGCTAGATTCCCGCCCAGGCTCTCGCTGTGCGCTGGGAAGGGCAAGGACCTGGGGCAGCCCACTGCACAGGGCACCTGCCCCCAGGTGGTGGGGGCGCAGTCCTGCTGAGCTGGGACCCTCGGGGCTGCCTGTGTGCTCCCCCTCAGAGGGGAGAGGTGTGACCCCAGGCCCTGGTGTCCCCTTGTCTGACTGCCGCCACCATGCCCTCCGTCTCTGAGTTCTGTCGTCTCCGTGTGGGGGTCCCTGGGGGAATGCCGCTGGCTACGTGCTTTTTTGTAGATGCTGGAGGCCCAAACAGGGCCCCGTGTCCCCGCGTCCTCAAGTGTGCTGGTGTGGGGGCAGGCAGCTCGCGCCCTCTGCACTCTGAGGGCCCCTCCCTCCGCCTCCCCTCTGAGTGCTGGGGCTTGGGCTCGGGCCGAGGATTCTGCTCGTTGCTCTGGGGACACAGACGTTCAGGCCCCGGTTGTCATTTGGGAGTCCTGGGTGTCGCGTTGGTGCTGCGGCAGCTCCTGGAGGCCCGCCTGCCCTGCCCTCCCCTGCCCTGCCCTGTGTGTGCTCCAGCGCCGCCCCCTTCTGCCACTTGAGGTGCGGGCTGAGTGGTCCCTGCTGGGGGACCTCGGGTGGCCCCATTCCTAGCAGTCGGGAGTGGAGCCCCTGCCACTGTCTGCGCAGGTCTGCTCTGGGGTGGCGTGAGGAGCTCGGGGTCCCAGGCAGTCCCTCCCGTGGTCCAGGAGGGGGGTGGGCGGGACGCTGTGGACGAGTTCAGGATGAGGCCAGAGCACAGGGGCACACGCCTCCTTGTGCCGTGCACGTGGCCCTTCCCTGGTGACAGCTGTGGTGGTGTGAGCGCCCGGGTGAGTTGGCCCGGTGAGAGGCGTCCTCGGGAGGGGCCTCTGCTCACAGGAGCCCGGGCGCCAGGCCACACCTGGGGGATGTGAGGCCCAGGCAGGACCCAGGCGTCTGAGCTCCGAGGTGCTGGGTGGCAGGATGTGATGGTGGCCGGGGGTTCTGGGAAACAGCAGACCCGGCCGCAGCCCCTGCGGGAGGGAACCCCACTGTGCTGCTCAGCTGACGCCCTAGCACCGGACCTGGGCTGCGGCCCTGCAGGTTCTGCCCACCGGTGGCCGGGTGCGCTGGGCTGCCAGAGGCCCTGCACACGGCTCCTGCTGGCCCCGGCCTCTCCTGGCCTCTGCTTGGTCACAGTTAGCACAGGGCACGAGACCCAGAACTGTCTTCTGTGGAAAGGCCACCCGTGTGTGGAGGGTCCTCGCCGTCCTGGCTTGAACACCGAGTGACCCTTATCCCAGGTGCAGGTGGTAATCAGTCACTGTCCCTAGGCAAGGTTCCTTTTGCTTCTGGAGGACACCCATGGGCAGCAGGTGGCGTTGTGTCGTCACCCCTCGGTGCCGTGGGACTCTGTGTGGTGGACCTGGGGTCCCACTTGCCATCTTAGAGCTGAGGCATCTGTGACTCGGGACTTCGGGCATTGATTTGAATTCAGCGAGGGCTGACCTGCTCCCATGCCCCCCATGGTCCCAGGTCTGGGTGCTGGCTTCAGAGGGTGCCCCGTCCCCCCCTGGCCAAATGTTCCTCCCACAAACCAGTGTGCAGATCGAGGCAGTAATGGGCGTTCTGCCCTCAGAGTGCTTGGTGTGATGTCTGGGGACATTTCTGGATGTCACAAGTTGGGGAGCTCCCGACAGCAGGTGGAGGCCAGGGACTCTGCCCAGGACTCTCAGTGCCCAGGATGTCCTTCCAGAAAATGCCCCGTCCCTAGACATCAGCAGTGCCTAGGGGGACGCTGCCCTAGAAGGTGCCTTCCTGGTGCCTTACCCTTCTCTGCAGGGTAGGGGAGCAGAGGAGAGTGCACCAGCCACTCCCACCTCCCCCAGCCCCTGCCCGGGACGGTGTTGGTGGGTGTGGTGGTTGGCCCTCCACAGTGGATGCTCTGGAGGAGGCAAGTTTAAGGTTGGGCAGCTGTGGCGGAGGGTGTTGCTGCCCCTGGGGGAAGTAGCTAGCCAACCTGACCCTCTGGGAGCCGGCCTCACCCTCTGCGTCCGCGGCACGGGCTGGCGGCATGGTGCGGTGCCACCACAGCACCCCATGTGCCAGGACTGGACAGCGGCCTGGCTTGCGGGCCCTGGGCTCACCCCCCCTGTCCTGCAGGCACGGGCGAGAGCGGCAAGAGCACCTTCATCAAGCAGATGCGCATCATCCACGGCGCTGGCTACTCGGAGGAGGACAAGCGGGGCTTCACCAAGCTGGTGTACCAGAACATCTTCACCGCCATGCAGGCCATGATCCGCGCCATGGAGACGCTCAAGATCCTCTACAAGTACGAGCAGAACCAGGTGAGCTGCAGCCCGGGGCGCGGGGTCCCTGGAGGCCCGCTGCTGCCGCCACCAGCCTGCATAGCAGTGCCCTGGGTGCCGGCTAGGTGCTGTGATGGGCACCACCTGTGTCCCTTAAGTGGCTGTTGGCTCCCTGCAGGGAACTGCCTCGCCCAGGCCCCCTGGGGAATGGGCAGAGAGGCTCCCAGGAACTGACCCTCTGTAGCCCGTGAGCCTGCCAGGCGCTTCCTTCACACGGCACACGGCCTCGTGGTGACCCCGCAAGGTGCAGCTGCAGGGTGTGACGCTCACCTGTGCCCACCTGCTTGAAGAGCACGGCTCGGTGGCTTCTACCACGTCCACACAGTCGTGAGCCAGCACCACGATGTGGTCTCAGAACATTCCATCACCCCAAAAGGAAACCTGGGGCTGGCTGGGCTCAGCGGCAGAGCGCGCCTAGCACGCGGGAGGCCAGGCTCGGTCCTCAGCACCGCGTGTAGATAATGAATAAGATAAAGGTCATCGACGGCTGGAAAATAAATTATAAAACCGGAAACGCCATCCCCACAGTCGCCCTGCCCCTCCCCAGCCCTGCACCCGCAGCCCATGTCCCATCTCTGGACTCTGCTGTCCTGGGCTCTCTGTCACTGGGTCACACGCAGAGGCCTTCTGTGTCTGGCTGTCACTGAGCACCAGGTCCGCAGGTCCCTTCACACTGGAGCTGCCACCTTGCTCCTGCTCCCACCCAAGTGACGCTCCAGCGTGAGGGTGAGACGCCCCGTGCCCGTGTTCGTCCGCTGGTGGACGTGAGGACCGCCCGCGGCTGCTCCGGGCCGTGCTGGGCGTGCTCCGTGTGGCTGTCTCTGGGTCCCCTGGGCTTGGAGCCTCTGAGGACTCCGCGTTTCAGGCGGCCCTGGTGGAGAGGTCCTGGCCTTGCTGGGTGGGCGTGCCGAGTGGTCTCGCAGATGTGTTTTAGGGATCAGACTTCACCCAGAAATTGAGGCTTGGCCTGGGCTGACCTTGGCCTGGGGGGCAGACACTGTTGGACCTATGTACCTGGCGTCTGCAGGCCCTCCCCAGGTCTGGATGGCTCCTGGACTCGAGCCCCCCACTCCAGGTCACTGGGGTGGGGCGGGGCCTCGCTGTCGTGCGTGGGCCCCGTGGGGTCTCTGGCGGGGCCTGGCCTTGCCCCTGCCCAGGTCTGCTGTCTTGCAGCCGCGCTGCAGAGAGGCTGGGTGCTCCTCGGGCTGTGGACCCTTGGGACCCGACCGCGGCAGGACAGCGCCGTGTGGGGGCACAGGTCCACTGGCACGCACCCTGGCTCCATGCTGCCTGTGGCAGCTTTGCCTGTGGCACACAAGTGGAGACGCTCAGGCCACCGCGAAGCTGGCAAGGCCTCTGGGGGAAGAGACGGCTCCCGCCCCCGGTGCTGGCTCGTCCTTCAGTGGCTTGTCCTGGCCCAGACTGAGGGGTGTGGAGGGCGGGGACGCGGTGGACAGGGCCGAGAGGACAGCCCAGTGAGCTCTGCGCCCAGCAGGGCTTCCCTTGTTTTCCATTTTGGGGTCCCGCTAGGTGTACCCTGCCCAGCCCCTCAGCCATGCCACGGCCAGGCGTGGCCACCGTGTCTGAGGAGAGGCGTGTGGAGCACGGGGACCTCTGCCGAGGGCCTGCCCTGCACCGAGCACCTGCCTGAGTGTGCGGCGTGTGCCAGCGGCCTGGCCTCCGCCGCCCTGTGCCCACCGGGCTCCTGGCGGGCACGCCCCCCCCCCAACTTCGCTCTGGGGCCGGGTGTGGTGCGGCTGGTGCTGGCAGAGCGTGAGGCCTGGGCACCCCGGGCTGCACAGCCCTCTGACTCGGCTTCACCCTGTGCACTGGGGCCTGTGAGGGCAGCGTCCCGGCCCCTCTGGGGGAGGTGGAGGTGGCATGTGGTGGTGCCATCGCCCCCTGGGGCTTCATCCGTCTGTCCTGGCGTCATGTCGGGCTGAGTCTCCTTTTAAGGGCTTGCTGTGGTTCGTGGTTCAGGAGCGTGTCTATTCACGTGTGTGCTGGTTTCTGGTCCCCTTGTCCTCCCTGTGCTAAGAGCAAATCCGGGGCCCATGTGAAGCCTGGGAGCCCGGGGAGCTGCCTCGCGGGGCCTGGCGGCCAGGCCGTGTCTGCCAGGGCCTGCCTGCTCCAGGACGGGTGTCCTCAGAACACCCACCCTGGGCTCCTCTTCTGCATGGGCAGCGCTCTGTCCACCTGGCTGGGGCCTGGACATGCCCCTGCCTGAGCTCTGGCCTCCCCTCCTCCTCCGCAGGCCAACGCCCTCCTGATCCGGGAGGTGGACGTGGAGAAGGTGACGACGTTTGAGCAGCAGTACGTGGAGGCCATCAAGACGCTGTGGGGGGACCCGGGCATCCAGGAGTGCTACGACCGCAGGAGGGAGTTCCAGCTCTCGGACTCGGCCAAGTAGTGAGTGCGGGTGGGCTCGGCCGGGAGGCGGGGGAGCAGCCCACCCAGCCTGCTGCGCGTCGTCCTGCAGGGTCACGTCGCCCACCAGGGGCAGGCGGGCCGTGTTCTACTGGTCGTCCGGACCCCATCTTCCTGGCCTAGGCGGGAGGTGGCTTATGCTTTAGTGAGCTCCTGGGCCTGGGCCGGGCCCTGCCGGGCTGCCCCTACCCCCTCCTGGCCCCGCTGAGCTGCCCCTTTTGACCTCCCAGCAGGGGCCTCAGTCTGCAGGATCTCCAAGGACAGGGTGGGCTGCCAGCCTCCTGCCCCACTCTGGGGGGACCGTGGTAGAGCCCTGACCAGCAGGGCTCTGGGTCAGAGTCCATGACACCTGGGTGTGCAGCCTGGCAGAGACAGCAGCAGACCCCTGGGAGGACTGAGGAGCCGGCCTGGCCCAGGGAGCCCTGGAGGACAGGTCCCAAGGAGTCCCACCTAAGGGAGGGACGCAGTGTGCCCGAGGAGCCAGCCCTGTGGGGGTGACACAGAGATACCCGGACAGCAGCTTGCGCCGCAGCCTGTAGGAGGCATGAGACGAGCAGCCGGCACGGGCAGCGGGGCTCCCTGTGGGAGGCCACCCTCCTTGTGAGTCTGTAGCTGTCCTAAATAACAGGTGGATACTTAGCAAGACAGGCCTCTGAATGTCCTTGCCCACGCACGGCCCGGCTGCCGAGTCCCAGACCTAAGGAAGAGCCTGTGGCTCCTGCCCCCGGGTCCGGGTGGGGGTGGGGCGGGCAGCCTCCCCTCCCCAGCCTGGCCCTGGCCCTGGCCCTGGCCCTGCGCGCAGTGCCGGCCCTGCCCTTCCTGAGCAGTGGCCGCAGCAGCCCTGCCTGCTGTGTTTCAGCTACCTGACTGACGTGGACCGCATCGCCACCTCTGGCTACCTGCCCACCCAGCAGGACGTGCTGCGGGTCCGTGTGCCCACCACTGGCATCATCGAGTACCCCTTCGACCTGGAGAACATCATCTTCAGGTGCGGCACAGGGCGCTGCCCCTTCCCCAGACCAGGGCTGAGGGCCAGCCCCTGGGCTGGGGCAGACTGTCGTGCAGGAGGGGCCAGGAACGACCTGGGGGGCCAGAGGCCAGCCGCTCTCGGGGGATCTGCAGTGGGCCTGGCCTGGGGCGGGTGGACAGATAAGGAGCTTTGGGCTCCAGGCCCAGGGCAGGTATCCTGTGGCCTGGGGTCCTGTAAAGGGCTCTGGGTCCACTCCAGCTGGTGGACCAGCGGTGGGTGGACGAGTCTTCTCTGGGCCCTCACTGGACCCTGTGCATGGGGGTCACACAGCTGGAGTGGGCCTGGTGCTGCCCATGGGGACATGCGCCCCGCCCTCGGGAGTCTGCACACCCTCGGAGGCTCCAGTGACCACCAGGTGGCAGGCTGAGTGCAGGTTCTGCTGGGACAGAGCAGCGCTGACCAGTGTGTTCCTTTCCTCAGCTCTGGAGGCAGAAGTCCCAGGTCCAGGGTGGCAGGGCTGGACCCTGAGGCCCCCTCAGTGTCTGGTGGAGGCTGTGGCCTCAGTGCCCTGGGCTGGTGGAGGGGTCTCCCAACCTCTGCCCCCATCTGCACACGTCCCCCTGCGTCTGAGGTCAAATCGCCCCTGCACTGGGACGCCCGTCATCAGACGGGGTCCCCAGCCCCCCTGGGCCCTCGTCCTGGCTGATCTGTAGCAGGACCCTGCTTCCCGGCACTGGGGACGGAGCCCAGCCCTGCACGGCAGTGGGCTGGCCCCCTTGCAGCAACGGGTCCTCACAGTGGCCCCAGGCCGCCCCAGGCCCTGGTGTTGGCGCTTGCCGCCCTTCCCCGGCAGAGCCGGGTCCAGCTCTGAGCTGCCCTGTCGCCCAGGTGCTCTGGACCCCCCAAGCTGCCTGTCCACCTCGTTGTGAGGGGGAGGTGTCTGGTCGTGTTGTCCTTTCTTGGTGGGATCTGAGGCCACCCGGGCTGGGCTTGGTGACAGCTCCTCCCACCGCACTTCTCCCGGGCCCCTTGAGGTGCCTCGCCCTGGCCTCCCCGGCCTGGGCCTTGCTGCACCCAGTCAGCAGTGCCCTGTCCCTGCGTTCACAGGGGGCTGGCCAAGGACCTGGGCTCCAAGTCATGGCCCGGCCCTGATCGGAGGCATTGGGGGCACCTGGTTGCCCCCGCTGTGAGAAGATCCTCGACCCCAAAAGGGGACGCAGATGGAGACAAGGCTCCCGGGGGCTCCTGTGCACCGGGAACGCCTCAGGGTGGGAGAGGCCGTGGCCCAGCACCAAGGCCCTGACCACACTTCACTGGCAGCAGTCCCAGCTGGGCCAGGTCCTGGCACGGGCCCTCTGCGGCCACCCTGCCCTTCAGTCCTGCCGGCTTGCCCACCCCGTGACTGCTGGGCTCCTGCACACCCTGCCCCAGGCTCCCCTCTGCCCAGCCAGCCCCGGAGTGGTGTCTGCAGCCCGCCTGTCCCTCCGCAGGCCCCAGGTGACGCCTCTGTCCCTGTATCCTGGGGTAGGAGGAGCGCCCGCAGCCTGCTGTTCCCAGAGGCGTCTCCCAGCTGGCCCTCGCCCTCACTGCCCACCTGTTGGCGCCTGCCTGTGCTGGATGGAGCTGTGCCCGCTCCCCTCCCAGCACCCAGGTGGCCCCCCTTGCCTCTGTGGCTGCCACATCCCGACGGGAAGGCACATGGCAGCTGGACAAGGGGCTGGGATTCGCTGGGGCCTCTGCAGGAGTGACGAGGCCACCCTTGGCTGCAGTGGACACCTGGCCCACTGTCCACGGCCAGGAGAGGCCTTCTGTCCTCCGGGATTCCAGACTGAGGCAGCAGGTCCCAGGGGCCCATCCAGCTTTGCCTGCACAGTGCTGTCGGGCCTCCTGGGACCTGTGCCCCGCTTAGCCACCACTGCACTCTCCAGGGCTCTGCTCTCAGGACTTGTCACAATTTTGGAGAGACAGGGACAGTCACCCTCTGTGTCCGCAGCTCCAGCCAGCCATGGAGAGGGCACCGGGAGGAAGGTCCCCTCTGGGCTCGCTCCGACCGAGTTGTCTCCTGAGAGGCGCAGCCCCGTGCCCCCTCGGCCTGCCGCAGCAGCCTGGCTCCTCGGGTGCCCTCCGAGGTGCCACCTTGGCTGAGCAGAATTCCTGGCGCTCACTGGCTTCCGGCCACACCTGCTGGCCTGGGCTCGTGAGCAGTGTCCAGTGGCAGCCACAGCCACAGGGTCGGGGCCGTCTCTCCCGTGCTGAGTGCTCGTGGGCTGTTTCTGTGCAGGATGGTGGACGTCGGGGGACAGAGGTCCGAGCGCAGGAAGTGGATCCACTGCTTCGAGAACGTGACGTCCATCATGTTCCTCGTGGCGCTCAGCGAGTACGACCAGGTCCTGGTGGAGTCCGACAACGAGGTGAGCGCCTGCCCCGCCCTGGCCGCCGCCTGGGTCTGGCCGTGCTCCGCGGGCCGTGGCCCCGGCCAGGCTCCTGAGACGCGCATCCCCCCAGAACCGCATGGAGGAGAGCAAGGCGCTGTTCCGCACCATCATCACCTACCCCTGGTTCCAGAACTCGTCCGTCATCCTCTTCCTCAACAAGAAGGACCTGCTGGAGGACAAGATCCTCTGCTCCCACCTGGTGGACTACTTCCCCGAGTTCGACGGTGAGCCTGCCTGCGGGGGGGGGGGCAGGGCCGGCTGGGGCTGGGGGCGGCGGGTGGCCGAGGCTGGTGCTGCAGAGCGGGGTCTCACGCCCGCCCGCCCGCCCCAGGGCCGCAGCGGGACGCGCAGGCCGCCCGGGAGTTCATCCTGAAGATGTTCGTGGACCTGAACCCCGACAGCGACAAGATCATCTACTCGCACTTCACCTGCGCCACGGACACGGAGAACATCCGCTTCGTGTTCGCGGCCGTCAAGGACACCATCCTGCAGCTGAACCTCAAGGAGTACAACCTGGTGTGAGCCGGCCGCCGGCCAGGACGCCCCACTCCTCCCGCTCCCTCGCGCCCTCCAGGGCCACGCAGCCTCTTTCTGGCCTTGATCTGTGGCTCGTTTTTTTTCTAAAAAAAAGAAAAGAGAAGATTAAACAGAAAACAGATCGCAGGCCGGTGGCCAAGAGCCGGCCCTGGGCCCTCGCCGCCCGCGGCCCTGGGCTCCCACCGGGAGGTGTGGGGTCCTGGGCCGTGGCCCGTTACCACTTCTCTAAGTTATTGACGTCCTCGCGGCCTGCGCTGTAATTTGCTCCTGGACTCCAAGAAGTGGGGGTGTGCACCCGCCGCCCGCCCCGGAAGTGCCTCACCTGTACACGTGCAGACACGTCTGTGCGGTCTTTTTGTTCTTTTTTTGTTTTTTGAGGAAAAGAAAAAAAACAGCTCACGGGGCCCCAGGTCGGAGGAGACCCCACGTGCCTGGTGCCGTCGGCCCCACCTGCCGGGCGGGGGACTCGGGTGCCTGTCCTGCGGGCAGTGGGGTGGTGCTGGGGGCATCGGGGACAGGGAGCCTGCTCCGGGTCCTGTGGCTTCATTTTGCTCCATTTTTTGTGGTCACGGTTTGGAAAGTGAGGGCAGAGTGGGGACTTCTTCAGAATCTTCTCAGGTCTGTCCCCGAGAAGCAGAGAGGAAAGGTGGGGATCACTGTTGGTGGCCATGTGCGTGACCGACCCTGTGCAATCCTCAGCCGCCCCTGCACCTAGCCAGACGCAGGAGGGTAGTCCCCAGGCCCCAGCCCTTGTCCTGGGCCTGGTCCCTGAGACAGGCGGAGCAGGGGCTGTGCTCAGGGTGGAAGTGGCCGTCCCTCTGTTGTCACGGTGTCGTCCTGGCACCCTGCCGGGACCCTTGGAGGCTGCTGCTTTGGTGCTGGGAGAGGGCACAGGAGCAAGCCAGCCGTGAGCCGCCTGTGCCCGCAGCCCGCCGCAGTTCTGGGGAGGGCTGAGGGGGCTGTGGAAGTGGGTGTCCCTGGCTGTGGCCTGTGGGGCCCGCCGCATCCTAGGGCACAGTGTCCCTGCCTTGGCGGGTCCATCCCTGGGCTGCGTATGCCTAGAAGGGTTTGTGCCATGGGCCCTGGCGGTGGGACTGGGCCCTGGTCCTTGCAGAGGGGCATCCTGGCCTCACAGAAGGGAAGAGGACTTGGGCTCTGTCAGTGGCCCGAGGGCAGGGTCCCTCCCGTGGGGCCTGGGCGCCTCTGCCAGCCAAGTATTGACCCCTCGCAGAGGGGCAGCGTGCCAAGTGTTCCCGGGCCGCCTGAGGCCACAGCCAAAGCCCGCGGCCCGGCCAGGCCCCGGTGCCCGCAGGACCAAGGCAGGAGCTCCTGCGCCAGCACCCCCCGGGCAGGACCGGGCAGCAACCTCGGGCCATGGGGGTGGGCCACGCCTGATGTGCCCCCGGCAGCTGGGCTGCGAGGTGACCCTGGTGTCCCCCCCATAAACTGTCGTCAGCAGCCCCAACGGGAGCCTTGGCCTGGGCACTGTCCCCCAGGTGCCCTCTGCCAGGCCCCAGCTGTGGAGTCTGAGGCAGTGGCCGGCTGCTGGCCACCACCCAGGACCTGCGCACAGCGGAGCCCTGACCCCAGACCACGTGGGCCCCGACCTGTTTAAAGAGTATTCTGTAAAGTGCTGTTTTTAAGCCCTTTGTCATTCCAAGTGCATGTATTGGGCGAGCTGGGGACAGAGTGGGGAGCCGGGCGCTCCGGGCTCCATGCCAACCTCGGGCTGGGCAAGGGGCCGGGGTCCCTGCAGCAGGTCGGGGCCTGACCCCTTACTCCCCAGGTTCCTGATGGAAATCGACTTTTCATATCTTTCTCTGAAGCGAATTGTTTTAATTGAAATAAACCCTGTTCCTACACACCGTGGCCCGCTGCCTTGCTTCTGTGCCCGCCAAGGGCGGGCGGGCGGGCGGCGCAAGCAGGCCCGGCCTCAGCCCCAGGTCCTCCTGCCTCCCGCCTGGCTCTGGTGCGCTGTCCATCTCCTGGGGGCTCACATGCTGGGCCCCTGACTTCCCGCCTGTCCCAAGGCCGCGTTATTTGGGGACTGGGCCCAAGAGCCACTCCCAGGACACTCGTGAGGCAGGTGGCCCCTCCCCACCGCGGTGGAGGCTGCTGATCCAGTGGCCGCTGCTCCGCCTCCATTTAGTCACTTCCTTTGGGGGGAGGTTGTAACTGGTAAAACGCACGCCGCAGCTTACCATTTGACCTGCCCTAGCGCCCAGTTCCCCAGCATTAGCGCATTTGCAGTGTTGAGCAACTGTCACCACGTCCAGTCCCCACCCCACCCCAGCTCCCAGCCCCTCCCAGCCCCTGACCCGCCAGGCCACTTCCTGTCTGAATCTGATGACACCGGGGACCTCCTGTGGGTGGGTCCTGCAGCATGTCCTGTGACTGGCTCATATAACTGTCTGCAAGTTATATGTAGCAGGTGTCAGAATTTTCTTCCTGTTCATGGCTGAGTAATATTTCATGCAGATGGGCTGCACTAGCCATGCGCCTGTGGGTCAGCCCTGGGCTGTCTCCTCTCTGCGGTTGGGGTGATGCTGCTGCTGGTGCTGCTGCCCTCAGCTCTGGGAACACCCCTGCTGCAGCTCTGGTCCGGGTGGGGACCGCCAGCTGTTTCCGCAGTGCTGCGCCAGGCCCGTCCCCTGGCAGCGGGTGAAGCTTCTCTTTCTCCCTCCCCCAGCGTCACTGACCTGTGCGTCTGGTCCTTGGGCCCGGTTGGGCCCAGTGTGTCCCTGGGCGAGGGAGGCAGCACTCAGCACCCACCAGGCAGGAGGGGGCCCGTGGGCGAGGGCCCTTCTGGATGGGCCCTTCAGGGAGGGAAGGAGCCTCACTTACCTAAGGAGGCCGGGGGCAGGACAAGCCTGGCAGGCTGGAGGCTCCGGAGCCCTGTGGCTGGAGCAGAGGCCAGTGTGTCCAGCAGGCCTCGCCCCAGGCAGCGCCTGGCCTGTCTGGTGCCCACCCTGGAGGGAAGGCCTCCGGTCACCCTCGTTCTAAGGGGAAGCAGGCTCGGAGGGAGCCCTCGTCGCCCTCACCATACCCATCCCCTGTGTGGACACCGACTGTGTCCACAGTTGGGTGCTGTGAGCCGCGCAGCTGTGGGCGGAGGTGTACGTGCATCTGCCAGGGGGCTGCGTGCAGTTCTGGGCACACCCAGCAGCAGAATTAACAAGGGGTCTCTGGGTTCTGCTGTCAATCTGAGGAGGGGGTCGAGGGAGGGCTGGCTGGGGCGCGCGAGCAGGGAGAAAGGAAAAGCCAGGGGTAAAGAGGCACTGCCCAGCCCCCCGGACCTGCACTCGCAGGACACGAGTGGGAAGAGCCCAGAGGAAAGTGGATCCACAATTACACCTCGAGGCGGCAGCGAGGCCAGCCCTGAGCGCAGCGCCAGCCACACTGCGGAGCCCCAGCTCTCCACGGCAGCAGGGGGGTGCGCGTCCAGGCCCCACGGCCACACGGAGGGTCCCAAGGACCTGACAGACCTGAGCTGTTCGACTTGCTCAGAGCGTCTCCTCTGACCACAACAGAATGGAACTGTGAGCCCAACTGGGGGATCATTACTGGAAAGTCTCCAAACCCGGGTCTAAGCAACCCACTCCCGCATTGTCCATGGGCCCAAGAGCCTTGAGAAATAGAAATACTTTGAACCGAATGAAAGAAACTAGAATCTAATAAAATGTGCAGGACGCACGCCAGGCGTGGTGGCTCACCTGTGGTCCCAGTTGCTCAGGAGGCTGAGGGAGGGGGCTCACAAACTTGGGCCATTGGGACGACATAAAGACCCTTTCTCAAAAGTTTTTCTGGGATAGAGCTAAGCAGTGCTTCAAGGAAAGTTCATAGCATTAAGGTACCTACATCAGAAAAGAAGAAGGGTCTCTGCAGGTGGGCCTCAGAGGTGGGACAGGCCGGTTCCAGCCGTGGCAATAACGGGGTCGTCACAGAAAGGAAGAGGTGATCATTGCTCAGTGCATACAAAAGCTGTACGACACTGTACTCAGTCCGTCGGCTGTAAATAGGGTCACGTTTAGTGCCGTGTGCACTGCCCAGTGCAGTGGCCTCTCCTGCAACCCCAGTAGCTCGGGAGGCTGAGGCGGGACGATCTCGGGTTCAAAGCCAGCCTCAGCAACTTAGAGAGGCCCTGTCTCTAAATAAAAAACAAAGAGGGCTGGGGGTGTGGCTCAGTGGCTGAGCGCCCCTGGGTTCAGCCCCTGGTACAAAACAAACCCAAAGCAAAAAACTACCAAGAACTGCATGGACACAAGTTGGACATCCTAGAGGAGACAGATTTCTGGGAAGACCCACTCAAGAAGTGGGGAGCCAGAAGAGTCCTACACAAGGCCCCCCAAGGAAGAGGAACGAGCCACATCCTCGGGCCACCTGCTTCCCGTGGTGAGCGCTACCAAACGCTGAAGAGACAGACAGCATCAAAACCTGGTCTGTCCCAGGAGACACGGGGGACACTTCCAGCTCCTTCTGAGGCCAGCATCATCCTGACACCGACATGACGTAAGGACAGTTCAGGAAGCACGGAGCACATCCCCTGAACATGAATCCAGCAGACCAGGTCCAGCAGCTCCTGGGGCTCGTCCTGGGAGGAGGGAGTCGAACAGAGAAAACATCAATGAAAACTGCTGGACGCTCCGACCTAAGAAACGCAGTCCCAGGATGGAGGAGGACAGCGCGCCTGACACGGCATCTCCTCAGCCAGCAGGACCAGACGCGACTCCCTCCACCTGGTCCAGAGAACTGTAAACACGCACGCACATACACATGCACGCACACACACACGCACGCACACACACGCACGTACACACACGCATGCACACACGCACACACACATGCACACGCGCACACACATGCACACACACATACACGCATGCACACATACACATGCACGCACACATACACACGCATGCACACATACACACGCACACACATACGCACGCACGCACACATACACATGCACGCACACATACGCATGCACACATACACACGCACACACATACACACGCACGCACACATACACATGTGCACACACACACGCACGCACACATACACACACACGCACACACGCATGCACACATACACACGCACACACACGCACGCACACATACACACGCACACACATGCACATACACACACATACACACACGCACACACGCACGCACACACACACGCACGCACACACACACGCACATACATGCACGTACACACACACATGCACACGCACACACACATGCACACACACGCACGCACACATACACACGCACACACACACATACACACACGCACAAACACATACACATGCACACATACACATACGCACGCACGCAACACGCACACACGCACACACATGCACTCACACATACACGCACGCACACACGCACATATACATGCACGCACACACATACACACATGCACACATACACATACGCACACACGCAACACGCACACACGCATACACATGCACTCACACATACACGCACACACACGCACATACACATGCACACACACACATACACACACACATACACACGCACACACACGCACACACACACGCACGCACACATACACACGCACATACACGCACACACACACATACACACACGCACACATACACATGCACACATACACATACGCACGCACGCAACACGCACACACGCACACACATGCACTCACACATACACATGCACACACACATATGCACACATACACATACGCACACACGCAACATGCACACACGCACACACACACTCACACATACACACGCACACAATGCACTCACACGCACACACACATGCACACACTCAGACGCACACATGCACACATACATGCATGCACACATACACATGCATGCACACACATGCACACACAGAGATACACACATGCACACGCACATGCACACGCACACAGATGCGCACACACACGCACTCACACACATGCACAATGCACATGCACACACACACACATTCAGACGCACACATGCACACATGCACATGCACACACACACCCACACACACACTAACTACAGCTAACATCATCTTAACGGTGAAAGATTGATGTTTTCCCCTTAAGATCAAGAACTGGGCAAAGATGCCCTAGTCCCCATCCCTAGTCACCCCCACGCTGGGAGTCCTAAACATGCCCCATAAGGAAAGCAAACGTCAGCGAGATGGGAAAGAAGAAGAGAAAATGTTTCTATTCACAGGTGACTTGACTGTCTACTTAGAAAATCCATGGAAATCTACAAAAAGAAAAAAAGATTCTGGGTTAATAGTGAGTTTAGCAAAGTTGCCAGATAAAACACCTGTGTGCAGGCTGGGGCTGGGACTCGGCGGTGAGCGCTCGCCTCGCCCGCGTGAGACTGGGTGGGATCCTCAGCACCACAGAAAATAAAAAAATAAAGGTATTGTGTCCATCTACAACTAAAAAATGAATATTTTAAACAGATCCATATGTAAAAATCAATCACATTTCCATACAATAGTAGTGAACAACTGGAAATGAAAATTGAAAACAATTCAATAGATCCCCAAAGCAAACTCCCTCTGTGTCAACGGGTGAAAGAAGGACGAGTCTGAATGCGAGAGAAACCGGAGGAGCGCCCCATGGAAGAGCGTCCACGTCCGTGGACTGACACCGACTCTTCAGAACATCGACAGGTCTGGCGCCGTCCCGGTCGTGACCCCAACAGGTTCTGTGCACACGCGGACAGGAGATCCGAAATGTCTGTGGAGAGTTAAAGGAACTAGAGTAGCACACACTCGCACACACGCGTGAGCAAGAAGAGAGTTGGAGCAACGACTTCCCTATTTGAAGAGTAGCGTGTGAGTGCTCTCCAGAGAGAGGGCCGAAGGGTGGA